AAAAAAGTAGATCATAACAATATTTATGATAATTTTCCAGGCAAATTTGCTTGGAAAAGCCTACAGTTTAAGGGATAGGCTCTAAGGGTGGGTATAAGAAGTCCTCAGTTTTATTTTAATCAGATTTCATTTTAATCTGTAACAATAATTAGTAATAATACTATTCCAGCTTATCAGGTATCACTTTTCTTATAATTTTATGAATTGCATGTAAAATTATATATTTATTCATAAATTAATGGTTAAATTCCCTGAAGTTACACAAAAATCATTGATTTTGATTGGTTGATATCACATATCAAAAATCTTTAAATGTGAATTTCTTGTTAATATTTAATCTATTTGAATAATTTTACTAATATTAGAATCAGAAAAATCTATTCTACAATATTTACTTATAAATTAAAAGCAGTAAATATTTTTAAAATATTAAAAATAAGAAAAATGTACCATTGAGATTATATGAAAAATGATCTACATACACTCTACCCTTAATCAATAATCAAGTAATCATTACTTAATTTCCTGATGACTTTTTTGTATATATTATTCGATCATTTTCTAATCATGTGATAAATCAATTTTTTGATCATTTTTCTGATTTTATTTCTTTTTGCGTAGGAAGTTGTAAACTCGCATAAAACACAATATGAAAGTTAAGAAAAAAGTCGAGTGAATGAAAAAAACAAACAAGGTAAAAAGAAAAAAAAATGGTGAGCGAAAGTTAAAGTAAATGAAAATAAAAAAAGAATTAAATGATTAGAAAAATCGAATAATATATACGAAAAACGACAGTGCTTACGTCAGACATTACGGATAAAAATGTTATCAGTTAAGTTGTAATGAAAACTGATTATTCGTAGGGAACAATATAAATTACGTGGCTAAGCCACGTGATTTATATAGTAACCTAACGATAAATCAGTTATCATCCACAACCTAACCAATAACAAGTACTTAGTTCAGGGACTTATTAAACACCCAGTATATTTGGTTTACTTTTTTTAAATATATTTATAACAATGTTTTATGTTAAAAAATTTTATATTCTATATAGTATTGAATTTTTGTCCAACAGGAGGAAACGTACCCGATCCAAAGTGAACCCACACATGGTGTGATCAATTGTGATAAATTAAAACTGAAATTATTTATATTAGTTTTAATTTATCACACCATGTGTGGGATTTACCTCTTTGAAAATAGTTTACAATATAAAATAACGTAAAAAATCAGCTCAAAATTTAAGTTAGGTTACCTGGTGTTTCAGCGTTTCTAGAATGTTTGCCGGGTCAAATATAGTATAGGCAACCCTCGGCAAAGTTTCCAGAAACGCTGAAACACAGAGTCACCTATCGCTACGTATACTATTTTTGACCCGAAAATTTTTCCAAAAACGCAGAAACACCGGGGTAGCCTATACTATATTTAACCCTTTTACTAAAATAATTGAAAAAGGTAAAACGTTTCGCTCTAGACATCTAAAAACATATCTTACTATATATTAAAATATAAATAAAAAATTAAAACGATTCGCTCTAGACATCTAAAAGCATACCTTAATATATTAAAATATAAATAAAAAAGTGATAAATAATTTGATCACTATCCTGATTACTAGATTTATATAGTTGGCCGAATACATCAATGGTGAGTGTAATTGTTCTGCATCAAAAAATACTTTAATAATAATAACCAACATGCGCTTCCTTCTGAAACAATTAAGTTGTTAAATACGTATCAGTATCAGGTATGTTTTTAACAATTAATAACTATAATTTCTAATCTCTAATACAGCATATTTTAAGTTAAATTGCATAATTTTATGTAATTTATAATTCGTCGCATGCATGCGTATGTAATTCGTCATCTTTGCACGTCCTACGCTGGTGGTGTGAATAAGAAAGCTTTTTAACGATTTAGTCATAGGAATTAAATCCTATATACTAATTAACGTTAACGTTAAAATAGTAAAACTTTAATGATATTATTTATTAGAAACAATAACATAGTGTATCAAAAGAGTAATGAATGAGTAATTATATTATTATTCGAGAATGGGAGAATTCGCGCGTAAAAATTCTATTATGTGTAAATATATACATCGAATTAATAGTCATTAGAATCACACCGCAACTGTCTATAGTCACGTTAATTTTCTACTTGATTTATCATTAATATATATAATTTCACCCACCGTCAGAACATAAAAATGCCAGACTGAACCATGTGACTATTGTGGGAGATGACTGTAGCTAACTTAGACAGCCCAAATAGGTACATTAAATTATTTTCAAACTTTTATATATTTTCATTTTTGTTCTTTTCTTCTTTTTCGCCTGTAACAGTACTCACAAAGTCAGAATCATTTTTGGGAAATTTTCTTCTGGTCAAAGTTTGCCAAACATATACAATTTCTTTCCAAATATCGATTGGATTAAAAGAATCTATTAATCCTTTTGTTATCGAAACTTTTTTATGATCCCCCAATCTTTCATAGGGTTGATAAGGAAATGCAAATATGTGTAAAAATGAAAAGATAGTCATTTCTATGCAGACCAATATGGCAGCTAAACCTCGACTGACATTCGCACTTGTCCTATTATGAAAGAAAAATGATACAAGTTTAATTTATTTTAGAAAATTAAAAATTTTAATTATGAAGTTTATGAAATCATGAGAGATATAAATACCAATATTGGGTCTCTTTGATGTAACCTATTTAAATATTAAAGATTAAATCGAAAAAATGATAAGGATATTAATTCTTAGGTATTTAAGGTATTTAATGTTGAGGAATAGAAACATTTACCTAATTCAGCAACAATGGAAAGAACTACTGATTGCCAAAACGCAAAGAAAATGACTAGTTTTATACAAAGGAATTTCAAAAATGGTTTTTCACTTGCAATGTCTTCTTTAATAGTTAAATAAAGTACAACCTATATGATAAAAGTTTAAACTTAAGTTGCACGTAAATTGTAAATTTTGAATAAAAAGCACACTTAACGTACCAGGGCATACATGGCAACGGTTACACAAATGAAAGTCAAAATTTTCATGTAAACTCTGGCAAAAGCAAAACTCAAACTTTCCGAGCAAAAAACACCAAAAGCTTCGGTAATAAGTGAAATAAACGTAATGATAGGTTTCATTATAACATATTGTAATATACCCCACTTTGTAATGGAAAGAAACGTATGGCCAGTTGGACTATAAGTAATGCAACAACAGGGCACTGGAAGCTTTGCTTTTTCACGACCGCGTAATTTTTTTTTTTGTTCCTCGGGCGATTCACCAACGAATTGAATAAGTAAAGTAAAAAAAGCGGCAATAACAAAAGCTTCATAACAATCTCGAATTGTTTCATAATAAGTACTATAACGAAAGTATCTGTAAGATAGCCAAGAAATGATAGCATATATTGGAATCATGAAAAGAATGCGAACAATGTATCGTTGATGGTTTGGCTATATCATATATCATAAATAAGGGTTAATAATATATTCGAAATTAATAAAATATTGAAAAGTAAACAAAATATAACGAACCTTATGATAAAATTGTAAATGTTTTATAATTAAATAGAATGAAATAATTGTTGCGACCAATGCGAATACACCCGAGATAGTCCATCCTATTCTGTGAGCTAATTTCAAAATATAAGAAAATGAAGAATTTTCGGCTAACAACAATAATTGTTAAATTTTATTTACCGTCCCAATGTAATCCATTATCCAAAAACTTTGTCGGATCTGTTTCATTTTTATTTTCTGCAGGGCATTCATGACTAAAAAACCTACTCATTATTAAAAAATTGGTATTTTTGTTTTTTGGTTAAATTTTGGTTTTCTCCTTTATAATGAGAAAGTAATATAATTAGACAATATATAGTCTCGACAATGATGCGCAATTTTAGTGAATTCTGTATTCTGTATGCAGGTATGGTACCAACCTAAATTAAATTTCGAGTGATATCACAAGGTCATGTGTAACGTGAATCTGGATGTATATTTCGATTTTTTAGGGGCAACAGTCACTGTTTTTATATTATAATAATTGTTAGGGATGATGCTGAAATTGGCTGAAGCTGATTTCAATTTAGATCCATAAAACCTACTAAAAACCCACTTATACTTGTTTATTATAAATTCTACCCATAAAGCTGACCTTTAACACTAAAAAAAAGAAAAAAATGTACCCCAAAAATTTTTAAATTTTCATAATAAAATAGGTCAAATTTTCAGCTTCAGCCACCACATTTAATATTCTCACTGATTGATGTAAATTTAATTTATCATTGCGCAGTAATTTTAAAAAATTTTAACGATCAATAATTCGGACTCACAATAATCAATTCTCTTGAAGAAAGCACGAACTGGGGTGCGCGGTATATATTATGTAAATCAAAACTATATGTGGTCATATACGTATAACAAAATTTATTAATGAATTTTTTTTTGATAGTGATTGATAGGTATAATAATTATTACGAATTTTTAAATAGCTGCACAGCCCTAACGATTTGATAGTTTTGGATAAAATTTCGCAAAGACAGTATTACGTCTTTACAAACAAAGCTATAGAACCTTTTCTTTTATTTAAATATGAAAAAAACTGTTGTAATATACTGTGTTTTTTTTAAAAAACAAAAAAAAAAAAGAATGGCAGGAAGTAAGAACTTAATTAGTTTTGTTTTAAGGAAAAAGCTCATAGCTTTGTTTGTAGGGACGGACGTAATACTAGCCTTTGCGAAATTTTATCCAAAACTATCGAACCGTTTAGGGCTGTGTATCTATTTAAAAATTCGTAATAATTATTATAAATTTACTACCTATCGTTATCGAGTACTATCTAAAAAAAAATTCATTAATAATATGACAACATATAGTTTTGGTTTACATATTATATCCCAACGTATCACCAATATCAGCACCAACAAATAATGCAAGATAGGGAACGAACTGCAACATTAGCACAACCAACACTGCAAGCAACAAATGCTTCAAGAAATAATTATTTAAGCATCATAAAAACTAGAGTATTACAATTTTTCTTCATTAACTAATTTAAAATGTAAACAATATATTATTCAAAATATTAGCCAATCCAATAATATCTTCGCCCAGCAAATATCTAGTTAAATACACCAGATTCAATAGTAATACTTTCGTCCACCAAATAACGATTTTGAATGCATTCGACTTAATGTAATTGCTGAGAAATAACGATTTTAAAAATATCGACCTAATAATACTTTGCACATTTTTAAATACGGCTTTAGATACATCTGATCCAATAAATGTCTGCCAAGAAACATTTTAAATAAACCTAAACTAATAATGTTTGCTTGCCGAGAAATAACAATTTTAATTTTGTCCAACAAATAATTTTACAATTTTTTTACGTACGTACATCAGTTCGTGTAACTTTAAGTATATCAGCACAAGAAATTTGATATCACGATTTACTGATCCAGGCAAATTGCCTGCAAAAAATTATCCAATGATTGCATATTTTTGACCTTGCAAAATTTACAATATTAATTATATCATCAAATCATAGTAGTCTTGAAAATTTAAATCCAGATAAATGTTTCAACCCGATAGGTTAAGTGTAGCTGCTTTGATATGGATTCATACGACTTTTGCAGGGGTTATTTCTGCTACCCGAAGGTGAAAATAAAAACAGAG